GTTTTTTAGAGTTTCTTTGTTTGAAATATTATGCTTTCGAATTTTTGTCCAAATGGTCCCACAAATTTTCAATAGGATTAATGTCCGGAGATTGTGGTGGTACTTGTTACAACAAGGTATTCTGTTACATTTTTAGATAACCAAGCCTTGACTTTTTTTGCAGTGTGCTTGGGATCATTATCTTGTGTAAACACAAAATCGTCCTTGATGCTCATTTTTTCAGCACTTTCTGTAAGATGTGACTTCAAAATATTTAAGTATATGTCTTGGTTCATAATTCCGTCAATAAAGTGCAAGTTTCCAACACCCTGAGCACTCATACAGCTCCAAACCATTACGGAACCTCCTCCGTATTTAACTGTAGGTTGTAAATTCTTTGGTTCCATTTCTGCATTTGATTTTCTCCACACAAAACGTCTTCCATCTGAGCCGAAAATATTAAATTTACTTTCRTCTGTAAATATTACTCTGTTCCAAAAATTAATAGAGCGATGTAAGTTGCCACTTGCAAAATCAAGCCTCTTTTGTCTATTTTTTTTAATTACAAAATATTTTTGACGAGCTATTCGACCATGGTAACCACTGTTTTTCAAACAATTTCTAATTGTACATTCACTAACATGTACTCCAGAAAAATTTGCAAGATTKTGTGCTATTTTAGGAGCGCTAATTTTTGGATCCATCTCAACTGTTCGTATGACTATACGTTTGTCATGGTCCGAAAGTTTTTGTGGCCGACCAGGCCATCGCTTATTTTCGTGACTTTTACAGTCGTCATGGTTTTTTTTTGTAATACATTTAGTAATACATATATAAATTACTATGTGAATGTTGGTTTATTGATAAAAATAAAATATTATAAAGAAAAGTGTATATTTATTCAAAAACACGGAGTGTACCGTGTACGAATACTTTTTACACTCACTTTATATTAAGAGGACATTGTACACATATATGGTGTCTTATTAACACAACATACCAACATTTACATCCAGCAGTTATAATTTAGTATTATTTGTTTAAGTGTTGGAGTGGCCTGACATTTCATTTAACTTAAAGGTTCAAACATCACCTAGGTCCTCTTTTTGATTTTTATAATATTTGTATTTTTAAGTGGGATGAATAATATGTAAAATAATAATATTTAAAAATTTTCATAACTCACTTAAAACTATTGAAAGAATAACAACCCACAATTTAACATAAATAATGTTCTTTGAAATTTTATACTTGGTCAATTTACTATTATTATTATTTAAAGCTAACAACTTAAAATTGTAACTGCTGAATGAAAATTCGATAAGTAGCTTATTTGTAAGATAAAGATTAAACATACAGATGTGACGTCCACTTAACATTTGTATGCATTATTTTAATTAATTTTAAATATGTCCTTAATGATGCTATTCAATATTCATAATACTGTTTCTACATATTTAATTTAAGATTTTATTTTGTAATTTTCTATCATATGGTTATTTGCCCACATTTTTAATAATAAATAAATAATGTTTACTTAGTCTATCAAAAAATTAGAATTGGAATCAAATAATAAAGAAGAATTTGGATTGGATTGTAAAAAAGTACTGTCAGATGCTTATAAACATTTATCCCAATTTACGGATACATTATATCAACAACTATACAAATATATTAAAACAGATGATTTTCAAAAACGTATGCTTGAAATTGAAGACAATATAACTAAAGGAAAAGCATTGGTTGAATTAGGAAAATCAACCAATAACAAAGAAAAAAGTAAGGCTGGTTTTTTTTTGATTTCACAAAGTACAATTGATAAAAGAGATATAAGTAACAAAAACGAGGAGAAGAATAAATATTTGAAACTAACATTGCAGTAAGTAATATGAATAATGCACTTAATAATAAAAAAAAAATATTTGCTATACAATGTTGTAAATTAACTAAATTGAATCATAAAATATTTATTGAAT